CTTAAAGGAGCAGTTCAGCAGAAATGAGAAGAATCGTCGTATGATGATTTTATTCCAGGTCTACTATGATTGTATTTTTGGTGACTGAGTACTGTCACTGATACTTCTCTTGCCTGGGTCTTGGTAAATATCTATAAACTGGAATGGTTTAATAGGAGGGTAATAGGGCAACGTACAGTGGGCGGCGTACTGTCAGCATACTTAGGGCAGCTAGCTGAACAGAAAGTGAGCAGAGCTTTCATACTGTCTCTACCATCAGTTGAAGTCAAAAGCTGTTACGGAGTATTGTATCGTTGCATTTGCATACGTATACACAAGTACAAGTACTTTATTGTAGTATCAGGCCTGGTACTGACACTGGTTTCAGCATCGGTGCATGATGTCTACATACTCACTGAATGAATTACAGGAAATGGTCACATTGGAGTGACCTTAGTGAATGTTCTTTGTCAGCCTTGTCACGTTTGTCTGCCCCCCCCCAAAAAAAATTCTCCCCCCAAAAAACACAACCATCTCTACTACAAAGGCAACATGTTTAATTATGTTGACATGACCAGAACACATACATAACACACACACATATATATCAATTTATGAATTAACACGTCAGCTTTTGATTTTAAATTTTACAAAAATATTATATTATATTGTATATAATATAATTTACACATCTTTATTGTGTGGAAAACTCCAGCAGTGGCAGCTGCAGCACCCCTGGTGGTGTGTGCACCACACTTCCCTGATCCCTGATCTACAGCTCAACTAATTACATTGATAATATGTCTGAATTTGATTATGATATAAGTAACCTTTGTTTTGTTTTGTTTTTTATGAAGAGATTTGACCTGTCACCCTGTCTCTGCAAACGATCAGATGTGGAGGGAACACTAAAGCATTGTTATCAGCGAGGCCGTTCGGGAGTGTTTGGGCTTAGAGCACAATAACGTTTGCACCTCCTCCAAATGACAGCTCTGCACCTTTGTTATCTGCCTGACAAGGTCTGAGTGTACCAAAGACATAACACCGAGCTAAGGTCGTGAATCACACGCTGCAACATCCGCAGAGCTCCTGGATAACAGTCATCTTTTACTGTGGAAAAACATCAACGTTACCAGCAGCTGTCTAAGAGACGGCTTGAGCTAATCCTTCTTCATGCTGGACTAGTATTAGCTGATCCCTTGGTTTGCACACACAAGTGGCAAAAGTAATAATTATTGCTGAGAACAAACAATGAATTGTTCTCAGGCCTCAGCTCCCTGGAACTGGAGCAGTTTTTTTTTCCATTAAGATTTTATTCTGAAGTGTATTAGTGGAACAATAAGGCAGACAAAGTTGAAATGATTTAACTTTCAAGTTTATATTTTGAAGAATATTTCAGATATAAACCAGAATAAATAACTCTGTCTTCGGTGTGCAATGAGTAGTCTGTGGCAATACTGATGGAAAAATATGGGGACAAGTCAAAAAGGAAAAACTTCAACAAAAAAAAACAACAAAACAAAACAAAGAAAACCCACAAAAATAAACCCAACACTTGAAAGTGTCGTTTTCACCACAGAATTCCTTTGTAGAATTTCAAGAATGTCTTCCTTTGTCTAGGGACTAAAAACCAGTTCCTTTCAACAGTTCTTACACTGAAAATATTAAAAAGAAAAAAAAGTGACTGCTCTTATTTATTAAAATGTTTCCAATTTCACTTAATTGGGCTGAAAACTATTAATTATTTATTGCAAATATTTTTCCTGAAAGGCAGATGCAAAAGAGAGGCAAATATTTTTCCTGAAAGGCAGAACAAAAAGCCTTCTGCTAGGTGGCAGTAGATGGCTATGAAAACTAAAAAAAAAAGAGAATCAGAACTGTTGAAGAATAAGATCTTTGTGAGCGTCTTTCTTCAATTCCTGCCAGTATATCAACATTGTCTTCAACTAAACAGGCTGAGATTTTAATGAGGTCATTTAAACTGGAAGATTATTATATTTCATTACATATACTTTTTGTTCGATTTTTGTTCGGTGGTGTGACGTAGGTTTGTTTTCCTGATGATGTATATGTTTTTGTTCGGTGGTGTGACGTAGGTTTTTTTCCTGATGATGTATATATGTGCTGTGGCTCAAAAAAGGTTGAGAAACACTGGTTTAAATGACTATTGTGATAGACAACATCAAAAGTGTTCCATGTTTGTCAGAAAAGACTCAGAGCTGTCATGATCCACCATCGATGTCAAGCCTAAATAGTAAAGTGTAAGAAGTCCTGGGATTCAACCACCAGGTTATTAAAACGCTCCTGCTCTGAGATTCCATCCCTCTGCTCTGAACTCCCACAGATCAACACTTTTCATTTATTATTTAAGACACGATACCGTCTCTGTTCTCAGACCCACTTTGTGGATATTGAAGTGTATTTTATTGCATTTACCTCATGATTTCTCTGCAGCATGGGAAGTCGTTGACAGACGTGACACTAAGGCATTGTTTCCCAAAGACTGGGTCGCGACCCTGAGATGGGTCGCACGAGATTGTTTTTTTTGGGTCGTCTCACATCTTGGGTCGCAAGAGTTTTTCTTTTGGGTCGTCTCACATCATGAGTTTACGAATAATGTCTGTTGACTTGGGTCGCGAAGGTTTGTGACTTTTAAAGTATGGGTCCCCGGAAAAAAAGTTAGGGAAACACTGGTCTAAGGTACAGTTCTGGTCCATTACCAGCAAGTTATGGCCCACTTTCTGCATACCTAGATGTATGTCGCCCAAAGAAAAAACC